CCTCCCACCCTCCCTATCCCACCCCTCTAGGTGGTCACAAAGCACCAAGCTGATCTCCCTGTGCTATGCGGCTGCTTCCCACTAGCTAGCTATTTTACGTTTGGTAGTGTATATATGTCCATGCTACTCTCTCACTTTGTCACAGCTTACCCTTCCCCCTCCCCGTATCCTCAAGTCCAAGAATTCTCTAGTAGGTCTGTGTCTTTATTCCCTTCGTACTCCTAGGTTCTTCATAACCTTTTTTTTTTTTTTCTTAGATTCCATATATATGTGTTAGCATACAATATTTGTTTTTCTCTTTCTGACTTACTTCAGTCTGTATGACAGACTCTAGGTCCAGCCACCTCACTACAAATAACTCAATTTTGTTTCTTTTTATGGCTGAGTAATATTCCATTGTATATATGTGCCACATATTCTTTATCCATTCATCCGATGATGGACACTTAGGTTGCTTCCATGTCCTGCCTATTGTAAATAGTGCTGCAATGAACATTTTGGTACATGACTCTCTTTGAATTATGGTTTGCTCAGGGTATATGCCTAGTAGTGGGATTGCTGGGTCTCATGGTAGTTCTATTTGTAGTTTTTTAAGGAACCTCCAAAAGAAACGAAATTGAATTATTTGTAGTGAGGTGGATGGACCTAGAGTCTGTCATACAGAGTGAGCAGTACAAGAGTGTCCCTTATACTTTTTTTTAATAGCTCTTTATTGGAGTATAATTGCTTCACAATACTTTGTTAGCTTCTGTTGCACAACAAAGCGAATCGGCCATCTGCATACACATGTCCCCATATCCCCTCCCTCTCGAGCCTCCCTCTCATCCTCTCTATCCCACCCCTCTAGGTCATCGCACAGCACCTAGCTGATTTTCCTGTGCTATGCTGCTGCTTCCCACCAGCCAACTATTCTACATTCGGTAGTGTGTATATGTCGATGCTACTCTCACTTCGCCCCAGCTTAGCCCTCCCACCCCGCATCCTCAAGTCCATTCTCTATATCTACCTCTTTATTCCTGCCCTGCAACTAGGTTCATCAGTACTATTTTTTTTTTTGATTTGCATTTCCTTATGGCTAATGATGCTGAGTATCTTTTCATATCCTCATCTTCTATCTTCTTTGTCAAATTTTACATTGATTTGTCTTTATTGAGTTATACTAGTTCTGTTTATATTTTAGATACAGGTCAGTTATCAGATATATGTTTTGCCCAACTCCCATTCTCTGAGTTGTCTTTTCTCTTTCTTGGTGGTGTCCTTTGAAGCACAAAGATTTTAGTTTTGATGAAGTTTAATTTATCTATTTTTTTCTTTTATCACTTGTACTTTTGGTGTCATATCTAAGAAAGCATTGCCTATGGTTATGAAGATGTACCATGGTTTGTTCCAAGAGGTTAATACATTAGCTTTAGTCTTTGATTCACTTCGACTTTGTATGTAGTGTGAGGCCAGTTTCATTCTTTTGCATGCAGATATCAGTTGACCTATCATCATTCGTTGAAAGGATTATTCTTTCCCGATTGACTTGTCCTGGTAGCATTGTTGAAAGTCAGTTGACCATAAATACAGACATCTGTTTTTTCGAAAAAGGTCTGAAATCATTTGAGTTGTCTTTTCAAAGAAAAATAAGGCAGGGTGTTACAGAAAGTAGTTAAATCCTTTGGTTTTCAAAGTGAGTTCAGGTCTTCTCCCCACTAGGACCAACATTCTGGGAGGATGCCATGTAAAATTGCATCAGTCTCATGAATCTTTTAGTTACGGAATCATCTTCATGTAGCATGCTTTTCGTGGATTTTACCTTTATTTAAATTTGGAAACCTGATATTTTTAAATATCCAGTTCTCTTTTACTTTGTTCACAAATATTGTAACCTTGTTAGAATTAGTCCCAGTATTATAGAGGTTTGGGTTGTGCTTTTTTTGTTGTTCTGTGTTTCTTTTTTCTTCACTTGTTTTCAGAGTTTAGCTGGAGGCAATGGCTAATCTTTAAAGGAGTCATGCTTATAAAGTTGGGATAGTGCTGAGAGGCTGATGGTCTGCTGATTCCAGCTGTAAAATGTTTTTTGGAGAGCAGAAAAACAATTTGCTTTCATTCCAATACACTATAATTCTTGAGGTCCACTAGCTTTCTAAAAACATTGACTCAAAAAGTGAAATGAAGAATTGTAAACTACATTTTTTCTTAGTATTCTTTAGTATTTGGAAGGCAGGTATACTTATTAGGATCTGTTGAGGCAAAATAGTTATCGGAGTTGGTTGAGTTAGATTATGTTGACTTTAAAGTTCAGGAGATTAGCTGCCTCTAATGTAATGCCACAATTCACAGGTATTTATTTCTGTGTTTTATTTGGTTCTTTTTTTCATGACATTTTAAAAGGGGAAATTTTCTTATAGACCATGTTTATGCTCAGTTCTCCAGTTCTGAAAGTATATATGGTCTATGTATATACACTTATATAAAAGTACATTTTGGTGTAAATTAGGTGTGGGTGTCATAATGAAATCTATTATGTAAATATTGTGTGATATATATATTAGAGTGTGTTGTCTTTGTATTATATTAGTGGACCTTTTTTTCTACGTATATGTCCATAATATGTGTCCATAATATGCCTTCAGTGATTATAGTAACATCACAGTTACCCAGAAGCTGATTTTCCAGAAATCCAAACATTCCAAACACACCACTTTAAACCCTGAAATACAAAAAAAGTTTTTAAACAATGAGCGAAACATTAGAAAACTTATATCTTGTATTTTGTATGACATATGGATTTTCTCTTAGGGTTATTATCGTCATCTTCTTTAAAAATGAACACTCAGGGAATTCCCTGGCGGTCTAGTGGTTAGGACTCCGTGCCGAGGGCCTGGGTTCAGTCCCTGGTCAGGGAACTAAGATCCCACAGGTTGCTCGGTGTGGCGAAAAAAAAAAGAAAAAAGAAAACTCAAAATAGATGGAGTTGAAGGAGCTGAAATGAAAACTAGCAGTAACAAAAGCAACAGCGACTTGCGCTTCTCTAGTGGCTGTGAACACAATGGCATTACCATTTCAGAATCACCACGATTGCTACTCAAAGGCTTTCTGAATTCAGGCAAGCATGTATGTACAATTAAGGAAGATTTCTATTAAAAAATGGCTTTAAAATGAACACAAAAAGCCTAACCTAAAGAATAGGCAAGCACATGGGCTTCCCTGGTGGCGCAGTGGTTGAGAGTCCGCCTGCCGATGCAGGGGACACTGGTTCGTGCCCCGGTCCGGGAAGATCCCACGTGCTGCGGAGCGGCTGGGCCCGTGAGCCATGGCCGCTGAGCCTGCGCGTCTGGAGCCTGTGCTCTGTAACGGGAGAGGCCACAACAGTGAGAGGCCCGCGTACCGCAACAAAAAAACAAAACAAAACAAAACAGAAAAGAATAGGCAAGCACAATATTTGAAAAATATTTGAAAATTTTTCTTCTGTAGATGACTTTTTTTTTTGGCAAATGTGTCTTATACATATGCTTTGATTGATTTAGGTGCATTGTTTAATTTATTCTAACATTTATTAAGCTATTTTTCAGGTATTATTCTAAGCAGTATAGATTCAGCTGTGAACAAAAGACACAAACACGACCTTAAAAAAGTGGGAGGAAGAACAGAAAATAGAGAAGCAAAAAGATAAATAAATATATTACAGAACATATAAATTATTTTTATTTTTGACAGTACTTGTCAAAGTAGTTAATTATTCATTCATTGATAACTCTATTCCTGTTAGGATCAGTACTAGACTGAGACTTTCTTCTGGGTAAGGTATTTTCAGGTGTGCTGTTCATGCTATTCAGATTATGCTATTTTTTCCTGGTACGCTCATGTGTTTCATGCAATTTGGCTGTTTTTCTTTGTATTGTTTTGTTTTTTGTCATGGGAAGAAAAGGTTATTTTTATGAAAACCTGTCTCGTATAAGTTTAGATTCCAAATTGAGACCTAAACTATGAAATAGATAACCTCAGTTTGATCCTCTAGTGTACATTTTAGAGAAAAACATTTGTGAAAATATTAACCAGATACTTGTGGAATGATAAACAAGGAATTCTTTAGGTTAGGCTTTTTGTGTTCTTTGATTCTGCAGTCTCCTTTGAGTAGTCCCTTGAAAGCAGTTTTGTGAAACACTGTAGTATTATTTTGTGTAGCTGACAGATGAGGACATTATACTCAGAGACCTTATTGGTATAGTCAGAAGGGGAGATGAGACCCTCATGGATGACAGATATCACTTACTTGACTGAATTGTGTTGTGTCTTGCTTAGTGGAGTTTGGGAAGATGGCATTGGTGTTTCCATGGTGTTGGTGACCACTGTCAGGAATGTGTGATTTTTTTTTTTTTTGAAATTGGGGAACCACAAAATAATCCTACCTCCTAGTTTGTTTTTGGCTGGGCTGAAAGTAAGAATGAAATTGAATGCTTAACGTAAATGCATAGGATTATGTAAATTAGTTCCCCAACATCTCCTGATGCACCCTTTGTGGATTACTTCTCCCCATTAGCTGCACACCTAAGTTACTTGTTCTACCCCACCCCTGTTATTGTCATTTTATTTTAGGGTTATGTCTTTCTTATCTTTGCCCTTAAATTCCACAGCCAATTGTATCCTTTCTCTTTCTTCTCTAAACACTTTTGCTAGACTTATGAAATTGTAGGCTTATGATCTTTAAATGGTTCTTCTTGGCTTCTCTCTCTTGTTCCAGGAATAACTGTATAAAATGCCCAATTTTTGCGAAAAGTGAATACCAGTTCTTCCCAGATTTATTTCTTATTGGAACAGAGTCAAAACCCAAAGGAAACTGTAGAGGAGAAAAAAATGAACCTCTTTTAGCTATTAAAATAATGACTAGGTTATGGGAATTTTATGTGAGACTTGAAAAAATAAAAGCATTTGATTATTCTGTTTTTATGGCATCAAAATATGATGCACCAACAGAAATTATTAAATTTCTTACATTGCCATTTGAAAATTTTCAGGCTGCTACCCTTGTCCCGGGCCCAACATGAATCCTATTGCTCTTGGGAGCCGCTGGCTTGCTTATGCAGAAAACAAGGTAAGCGAGGCGTGTTGGAATGTTTGTAATGGACCAAGTGTTGAAGAGTTTTCCAAAGGTAATTAACAACCAATAATGAATGTTTAACTTACTAGTTTGTTTTCCCTGGTTTGGTTTTTGTTTTAATTGGGCACCCAGTTGTCTGATCTTATTGCTCAGGATCAATATTTGGACTCAGCTTTACTTTTCCAGGCTTAGTTTTGTATAGAGAACTTTACTCCATTAATTTTAAATCACAGCATTGATATCATCACAGGAGTTTCTGTGGAGTTAGAAATCAGGAGGCACGAATGACTTCTGTCTTTAGTAGTAGGTTGGGAACCTGAGGCATGGAATAATTTAATGGACTTCAACTGTATGTGTACATTTAAATCTAAACAAGGGTTCTGCCATTTGTTGTTATTTATCAATCTCACTATCTCTTAAGGTCATCATAGTAAATGAAGATATTATATTTATACATTGAAACTTTTTTTATGTCTAGTTCAAAGCAAAGGGCAAATCCCTTTTTATGCCATTTAGTGCCCTGCATATGAATATAGAACGAAATCTAAAAAATATTACAGACTTCAAAGAAGATAATTTTTTGTTCCATTTTTGCTTATTTGTATGGTTCCTGTATATTGAGAATAATATGAAATAATATGTATTGAAGAGTTCTTGACACAAGTCTGGATATGGTAAGTACAACAATTATTTGGTGAAACCACAGTATATCTCTAGCCTCTGGAATTCACAAAATCAAGAAACTACTGGATAAATTTATTTTTCTGGATGATTCCCTTGATGCTTTTTCCAGAATTCTCTCCACTACATATAGGTATTTTGCATTTTAGTGAATGCTGTATTTATACTCTACCCTCTTCTTTCTCTGGATTATCCAGTATATCACCTTTCAAATTCATTCTTTTCAAATAAGACAAGAGGCATACAATTCAGTGTGCTGACATCATGGTATCTTCTAATGATTACGTCTGTAGGAAATTTCTTTGAGTGCTGGAGACATCCAAGACTTCCAAGAGGAAGATATATACATTGTCCCTTGGCTCTTGCAGATTTATTGTCATGTGTGGGAAACTACTCATTTAGAATTGTAGGTATTATGCAAATAGTTACATATTATTTTCTTATGGAAAAAACTTCCTTCATAGATGAATAGCATCAAAGTGTGCCAGTTGTATTGCCTTTGTCTTGCCTTTGCCTTTGTAGAGATATGTGTCAGTAATATCTAGTGTTATATACGGAGACCAGGACGTGTAGTGGCATTCACAAGGAGTTTACTAATCAGATGGTTGTACCATCCTTTGGAAGAAATACTTCCAGATAAATGTGTTTCCATGGTATTTACATAAGAGCTAGTATTTGTTAACAGTTTCTGATTGTAGTAGCATTTGGGCTGAGTGTGGAACTGCAGAAATTAAACTTTGGAGCAACAATTTCTTTCAGTGAAAATGCTCTTTGACTACAGTTTTAACCAAGAGGCCATATTATCTTGATTGGGTTTGTTTTTCAGTGCCTATTTTTAAGTGTACTTTTAACTTGGAAGACTTGCAGAAAACCTGCAAGAATAAATAGAGTACAAATGTTATAAAGTACACCCATGTACTCTTTACTCAGGTTGACCTCTGAACAATCTCAGAGTAAGTTGCATATATCACATTACCCCAGAATACTTAAGTTATCAGCCAGTTTAATTTTAAAAAAATTTATTTATTTTATTTATTTTATTTTTGGCTGCATTGGGTCTTCGTTGCTGCGCGCGGGCTTTCTCTAGTTGTGAGCAGGGACTACTCTTCGTTGTGGTGCGTGGGCTTCTCATTGCAGTGGCTTCTGTTGTTGCAGAGCACAGGCTTTAGGCACGTGGACTTCAGTAGTTGTGGCATGTGGGCTCAGTAGTTGTGGCTCGCGGGCTCTAGAGCGCAGGCTCAGTAGTTGTGGCGCATGGGCCTAGTTGCTCCGCAGCATGTGGGATCTTCCTGGACCAGGGCTTGAACCTGTGTCCCCTGCATTGGCAGGCGGATTCTTAACCACTGCGCCACCAGGGAAGTCTGCCAATTTAATATTGATAAGCTACTTTTATCTATTATAGCATCCATGTTCCAATTTTGTCAATTAACCCTAGCATATCATTTGTAGAAAATATTTTCCTATAGTGCGGATCCAGTCTAGGATCAGGTATTATATCTTGTAGGAGTGTCCCTTTCTTTCTTTATCTTTTACAGGATTGGTAATTTTGAAGACTACAGCCCCCTACATCTACCCCTTACTCTTTTTAATAGAATGCTTTTTATTTTCAGTGTTTTGATGTTTTCTCTTGATTACATTCGGGTTATGTATTTCTGTCTGGAATACTGTAGTATTGTATGAGTGCTGTTCTGGACTTCCCACAGTGTCACATCTGGAGGCACATGGTATATGTCTGTCCTTTATTGGTGATGCTGATTTTGTCAAGGTCTTGTCCAGTTTCTGTACTGAATAAGCACTATTTTTTCCTCTTGTAACTAATAATTTGGAAAGAGCATGCTTATATCCTGCGTTTTATCGAAATCTTAGCCTACCTAATTTTAGCATCCATTGATGATTCCTACCTGAACCACTCTTTACTATGAGGATTGCAAATTAATGGTTTTCCATTTCACACTACACATTTACCTGTAGGCATTTGGCTTTCTAGCATAATCAAGAACTTTCCCTTCTTTTTAAATCTTCCTGTATCTATATATATATTTTTTTGCGGTACGCAGGCCTCTCACTGCTGTGGCCTCTCCCGTCGCGGAGCACAGGCCCCGGACGCGCAGGCTCAGCGGCCATGGCTCACGGGCCCAGCCGCTCCGCGGCACGTGGGATCCTCCCGGACCAGGGCACGAACCCGCGTCCCCCGTATCGGCAGGCGGACTCCCAACCACTGTGCCACCAGGGAAGCCCCTGTATCTATATTTTTGATAGGGGTTAATGATTCCTATTTTTTAAGTAGTTTTTAATTTTTTTCTGCCTTTAATTATTTTGGTTTTCAAATTATGCCAGAGTTGACCGATGAGAGCCCCTTTAGTCTGCTTCTTGTGACATTGTGTTGTGGCTTCATCAAAATTTAAAAAAAAAATAATTTCCTTACTTGCTATCCATCTTGTACTTACCTTGTCTCAGCCCTGGAGTCATCTTCTGATTTTACTGTTTCTTTTTAGTGGGCAATGGTATTAGATACTATTACATATTAGATACTAAGCTTTTGTCCAGTAGATGTGTTCATTGTTACTGGCGTATTTTTGCTTCTAGACTCTTTCAGTGGACAAAGTTTAGAAATTTGCATGTTATATACCCACACACACTTCTTATTATACACATAAAGAGACAAATATACATATATGCGTATTTGTGCACCCATGTATACCCATATACACATGTACATTTTGGAAATGAAGAGGTCATATTGGTATTTCCACAGGATTCTCTCTTTTTGTCCCCCGTTTCCTATTTGTATGTCCTTTGTTTTGGATAGGAGACCATGACATCAGCACGTTTTCTTCATTTCTTCAATCCTATAATGCCAGAAAGTAATTACAGAGTCGCTTGCTCATACCACTGCAAAAATCAAACCAACTACAAAGAGTTCAGTATTTTCTTGCAATTTTCTCTGCTTTCATTACTGCCTAAAACGGAAGGTATGCAATCAAATACTGTGTTCATAGGTTATTTTAGTTAGTTTGTCCTTTATCCCCCTTTTTCTGCCTTCCTTCATTGTTACAGTTTTCATTTGATACATAATTATATACATTTGTCTTTATACGTGTATATATTTTCTCATATGTTATATAGATATATTTATATTTCCCTTTATTTCCCCAAAGATAACATTATATACATGGTCTTTTGTATGTCGCTTTTTTCACTTACCAATATTTTCTGGGATTTGGGCATGATAGATTTTTGCACTACGGAAATTTCTGGTTTATCTTTTATTTTGATGTACTGAGATGCAAATATAACTTTTGTAATGAGTCTGAGTTTTAAAGAAATTTCTGGCTTAGTTATGTTTATGTAGAAATGCTGACTCAGGTTTAGATGAATTGAAAAGGTGATAGTATTGCTTGTTTTCCTTGGTTATTTTAATTACCTGAAGCAGGGAAAAGATGGTAGTGTTTCTAGATATGTCTTTCCTTGCACATGCTTCAGAAGGCAGCAGAGGGGATAATTTTCATAATTCTTCAAATGTGTATTTGTGAATGAATGAATGAGTGACTGGGTGAATAAGTGAGAGAGATTCTTTTCATTAGCTAAAATGATCACTTTTCAAGCTCCCTCTTTTCCCTTGTGTGAAACTACATTTGCCAGTCACCTGCGATTTGGAAAATTCCACAGCACTATTGTCTTAAGGGATTTTTTTTTTTAATACAAATTAGTGATGAAGAAAAGTTTGATTTTATAATAAAAGAATAAAAGGTTCACATATTAATCTTTATCAAGTGACCTGGTTTTAAATTATATAGAGCATTCTTTTTGTTTTTATATTTTGGGAGAGGAAGATTTGTTCTGAATTCCTAAGGCTTTTAATAATTCACATCACAATGTGGAGCTGTTCTAATAGTCTACTATTGCCATTTTATTGAAAATTTTAAGTGTAAAAATCTGGCTAATGTTTTTTTTTTTTTTTTTTTTTTTTTTTTTTTCTTGCGTTATGCGGGCCTCTCACTGTCGTGGCCTCTCCCATTTGCGGAGCACAGGCTCCGGACGCGCCGGCCCAGCGGCCATGGCTCACGGGCCCCGCCGCTCCGCGGCATGTGGGATCCTCCCGAAACGGGGCACGAACCCGCGTCTCCTGCATCGGCAGGCGGACTCTCAAGCACTGCGCCACCAGGGAAGCCCCTGGCTAATGTTTTTTATATTTCCCTTTCGTTCTTTCTCTTTGTTTCTTCTTTTCTTTCTTTTTCTTTCTATTTTTTCTTTAAATTTAGAAGTGTAGGAGCAGTGGAGAATTTAGTCTTGGTTAATTGCTCAGCACATGAGAGAATTATGCATGTCAAACTAGTGATTCACTTTGGAAATTGGCAGTTTGATTTACTTATTTATGAATAAGGGCATGTCTTTTTCATTCTAATGTTAAAACTGGTGAGCCCTCTGAAGTGGACAGCTATTATGTGTCATAGTTGATTTATGCATAATTTGTGCCACTTTCCCACAAACACAATTGAAATACGGCACATTCTTTTGTCTATTTTTTAAAGTTTCCTTTTACAATCTTTATGTAGGAATTAAGAGGACAAAACCTCCAATTTGTTAGCATGTTAAATATTTAATGTTAGGAAGTCATGGCTAAGTCCTTTGATTATGTTTCTAAAATTTATTTGTGGAAAGCCTGCCAGATCTCAAATCCTACCATTTCAGAGTTTATGAATTCTTAAAGACTATTCATCTTGTAATTAAAAATCGTATTTGAGCATGAAACTGCTTGAGGGGCACCAGTAGATTATAAAAAGGAGTAAAAGTGTCTCAGCAGGGCTTTTAGCTGTTTGTCTGGAAAACACTCATGCAAACATTCCCACCCACCACCATCATTCTGCATATGGTAAATAAGCTCTATCTTAAGAGCCTGTAGAGTTAAACAGTTTAATAGAAATAACTTTCTGGTCATTCTCTCTCTTTCCAGTTGATTCGATGTCATCAGTCCCGTGGTGGAGCCTGTGGAGACAACATTCAGTCTTATACTGCCACAGTCATTAGTGCTGCTAAAGTGAGTATCCAGTAGTCTCTAGGAGGTACGATTTTGCGGAGTAATTATCACGTTCCCTTTTCATTTGCAAAGGTCGAACAAACTTAAGTAAGTCAGAATTATTTTGTCACTCAAGAGAACTGGTGACTTAAAATGATTAGGTATTTAATCTCTTAAGTTTCCTAAATCATACTTTATATTCTATTGTAATGATTTAAGGTTTGTATTTATCCAATTTGAAATATTTAAGTCTTTTAGCTAGGTCAAAGTCTGTAATCTAATTACTTTGGAAAGAAGCTTTACATGTTTTAAGTAGTAACTTCTGGATTTGTGTGTGTGTGTGTGTGTGTGTGTGTGTGTGTGTGTGTGTTATTTGCATCATTCTACCTATACTGACATCCCTTTGCATTTTTGAACATTTATGAATCTTCTTGACATAAAAAAAAATATTATTCCTTAACAAAACTTGAGTGAAATCCCTGGCACATTCAAAGATTCTTTCATGTCACAGAGCTGCCCCCTGCATGTTTGTCAAGTGAGTTCTTTTTGTGTATGCGCGAGGGTTAATTATGATGATGGCTCGTAAACTTTATGCTGATTATAAGGTATCCTTATAATCACCATCCTTTTGAATTGTGAAGTATACAACAAAACAATTCTAATAATAGGGATGACATAGTGAATCTAAATGACAGCATGTAATAGAAAGCACAACTATTCAGAAAAGAACAACAGTTTAAAACAAACCACAGGGAGGGAATCAAAGGTCACACTGTTTTATGTAAAACAAATACAAAAATACTTCAAGACTGATCACAAATGCTTACATGATGTGGTTTGATGAGAGAAGCATTACATATTTTTCACTCAAAGGGAATTATTGAATGGCTTTTTGCTTACAGCCCCATATATTTTAGATTTCAGAATCTTTATAAGAATGGTTTACTTTTCTCCTCTGTATGAAAAAATTATGGTTATTTCAGTGAAGAGAAATCTGAAGCAGAGTAACTGGCAGCATCAGTGTTGTTTAGCTAACTTATAATAGATCTACAAAATCTACCAATGAGGTCTAGTTCTCAAGTATTAGATTCCTTTCCAACTTGTCTGTCACACACTTTCGTCAGGATAGCTCATTGTATTGTCGTTCTGAATAATTTTCAGTTATGTGACAGAGAATAACTTTTCAGCTCTTCTTTGCTATAATTGTGTGTTTGTGTGCCTACATAAAAGGAAAGTGACCTGCATCATCCAGTAACTGTTTAGCTGTTTAACTGTTAGATGAAAGTAGACTTGCTGGAATGAGGCTAGACTTAATATGCTTTCAAAAAAGCAAGTCCAGACTCCCCACGTTTCTGCACCACAATACTGTGAACTGTGAGGAACATACTCATGTCTTCCACATTAAGCTCTAAGAAATTATGCTGATGACAACACCTTAATAGGCCATTGGTCACCAGTGGAATTGGTGTTGATTGCAATTCATTATTACCTCTGACAATAGGTAAGATTCTGCCATTAACTCCTGAATAAAGTGATTAATGTTTAATTTTTGTTTAACTACTTTAGCCTGATTTTAGTGCTTATTCATGTTCTTGCTTATAAATTTATAAAATGAAGGAAAAATATAGCCATGAGTGTAAAAGTCACCCATTTCTTCCTAGTCTTAACATGTCCAATCCTGTATTATACTCTGCTCTTTTAACTTATATTTAACTTAAATGTCACAAAATACTTTTGAAAGCATTTTTCTAATATTTATATAAGCTTTTTCTGTGTACCTATGGATTCCTGAGTTAGAGAGCATGAATATTTTGAGATTTCTTTGAAAATGCTGTCAAATTGTTTTCCTAAAATCTTATCAGATCTAGAATAATCCTTTATTTCACATTCAAGGTGTGGCTGTTTTATATGGGAAAGATTGGAAAGTTGGCATGATTTCCCCCCAAATAGTTTCTCCTAGTAAGTTATTTGATGTTAGAAACTTCATGGGTAAATTAACCTTCTGAGATATAAGTAGTTCCAGTTTTCCATTATAAGAACATAAAAATGACTTCCATAATTAAGTAGTGTAGTTATAAATATTTTATAATTTTTCCTGTTATAGATTACAATCATATTAGTATGTTCACTTGTGAAAATTTATCATGGTGTACACTTATAATTCCTGTACTTTGTTGTCTAAGTGGATATAAAACTTTGCTAAGGAAAGAAAAATCTCACAAAGATACTGTCAGATCTAGATACCTTCTCCAGAGAATTCTATCTAATATTTATGAATAAACAATGGCATAGATAAACAATAGGGATTTACAGTATAGCACAGGGAACTATATTCAATATCTTGTAATAACCTATAATGGAAAATAATCTGAAAAAAAATATGTAGCTGAATCACTTTGCCATACACCTGAAACTAACACAATCTTGTAAATCAACTATAATTCAGTTTAAAAAAAAGAATAAGCAATGGCAATATTACGAAGACTCTTCTATAGAATAAAAAGGTCAGGTTATGCCTCATCTTGTTTCGTGATTTAAGATCACCTTGATATTGAAACTTAACAAGAGCATTATGAAAAAGGAAAGCTATAGTCCTGTCTTACTCATTAACATAGATAGGAAAAATCCTAAACAAAATACTAGCAGGAAAAAAAAATACACAGAGGGATAATGTGTCATAATCCATTTGGGATAATTCCACAATTAAGGCTGGTTTACTACTCAAAATCAGTGAGTGTAATTTGCCACATTAGCAGAATAAAGGAGAAAATGATACAAATTATCTCAATATATGCACCAAAAGCGTTTGATAAAATTGAACATATATGCATTGATAAAACATTTTAGTAAATAGTGATAGTTTCTGGTTCTATAGAATTCAGTTTTTCTCAAATTGCCAAACTATTTAAACATAGTAAACATGGTCTGTTTCTGATCATTTCAGTATCTGGCTCCCTTTTAGTTGTGTTTTTGTTGTTTACTGTTAGTTCTCATTTATGATGTCTTGACTCCTTGTTTGCTAGAATTATTAAAAAAGATTTGTAGAAACAGATTTGAGTTTGAGATGATACCAGAGTTCTGTGACACTCTAGGCTTGGATCATCTTAATCCAATTTCACAGATTGAGATTACTTAAATTATTTAAATAAAGGTCACCTGAAATAGCTGTAAGATCCTGATTACTACAGGTTCACTCTTATTTCTGTTGTGTGTCCCTTTATGTTTCAACCCAAAGCATGCAGGGAAAGTAGACCCCCTTGAACATGACTACCTAGTTCCACAAGTCTATCAAAAGCACTACTCAGTCTCTTAGAAGCCCCCTCTAGAATCATCCAGTGCATTTAGGCCTAAACACCAGCTCACATGTCTGGATTTCCTTGTTCTCTTGGATTTTGACCTAGTAACTCATCACTATTTTGTTCAATATTCAGTAACTTCAAGCAGAATTAAAGAAAAATAAACTGGGCTTCCCTGGTGGCGCAGTGGTTGAGAATCTGCCTGCCAATGCAGGGGACACGGGTTCGAGCCCTGGTCTGGGAAGATCCCACATGCCGCGGAGCAACTGGGCCCGTGAGCCACAACTACTGAGCCTGCGCGTCTGGAGCCTGTGCTCTGCAACAAGAGAGGCCGCGACAGTGAGAGTCCCGCGCACCGCGATGAAGAGTGGCCCCCACTTGCCACAACTAGAGAAAGCCCTCGCACAGAAACGAAGACCCAACACAGCCAAAAATAAATAAATAAATAAATTTAAAAAAAGAAAAAAAAAGAAAAAAAAAGAAAAATAAACTCCCTGGTTTTCCTACTTGTTTTCATTCGTAGGATTGATCTGATTTACCTAGCCTGTCATTATTGAAAATAGAAAATAAAATTTCTTCTTATTATTTCTTACCATTTTAATAATTTCTAGGTAATATGATATATTACCATGAGATATATAACATGGAGAATATTTAAAAAGCCATGTAGTATGTGCTCCTTAAGAGAATACTACACTTTCTTTGACAGAGTAATCATTAATATTTTTCTCTCTCTGACGACTGCTTCTCATGTGGCTTCATATAGGTTAACCACTTTGTTATATAGAAGGATTAATTATTAAATTTTTAATTCTTTTTTATGTCTCACATTACAATTGTAAGTATAAATTATATTAATTATATATGTGCTTGGATCTCCTTCAAGGAAATAATCTTTTTTGCCCACCCCGGATTTTCAGATAGCACTTAAAATTCATCTTTCCAAATAATTTGGCTTTCCTTATAAAGAATATAATAGTGAAAAATTCTCTGAGATCGTATTGAAGGAAGAAGTTTAATATTGAAATTGTTCAAATTGGATTATTTTGAAACATTTATTAACACACTCCCAAACTCATTCTACTAGGCCACCATCACCCTGATACCAAAACCAGAAAAAGATATAACAAAAAAAATTACAGACAATATCACTGATGAATATAGATGCAAAAATCCTCAACAGAATACTAGCAAACAGAATCCAACAACACATTAAAAGGATCATACACCATGGTCAAGTGGGATTTATCCCAGGGATGCAAGGATTCTTCAATATATGCAAATCAATCAATGTGATACACCATATTAATAAATTGAAGAATAAGAGCCATATGATCATCTCAATAGATGCAGAAAAAGCTTTTGACAAAGTTCAACACCTGTTTATGATAAAAACTCTTCAGAAAGGGGGCACAGAGGGAACCTACCTCAACATAATAAAGGCCCATATACAACAAACCCACAGCAAACATCATTCTCAATGGTGAAAAACTGAAAGCATTTCCTCTAAGATCAGGAACAAGACAAAGATGTCCACTCTTGCCACTGTTATTCAACATAGTTTTGGAAGTCCTAGCCATGGCAATTAGAGAAGAAAAAGAAATAAAAGGACTACAAATTGGAAAAGTAGAAGTAAAACTGTCACTGTTTGCAGATGATATGATACTATACATAGAGAATCCTAAAGATGCCACCAGAAAACTGCTAGAGCTAATCAATGAATTT